CCATACCGACGATGCCGACCTCGTTGAGCTTGGCATGGCCGTGGAGATGAAGGCACGCTTCTTCTCGCGGCCGGGCGCCGGGAAGATGGCGTAGAGCATGTCCATCGCATTGTCGCAAACGACACCCATGCCGGGCTCCCGGATGATGTCTCCGCCCGGGACGTCTGGGATGTCGGCAGGCAGCAGGTCTAGGACGGCCTGCGAGACCCAGCTGCAGTGGACATCGATGCGATCTAGCATGAAGAACTTGCCCCTGAGGAGCTCATCCTCTTCAATATCTGCCTGACATACACGTGAGTCACCCAAACACTACAAAGGGGGAACAGGTGAACGAACCGCCGTCGGCATTCGGCCGTAGACATTCTGGTCCCAGCCCACACCCCGAATCCACTCCTCACTGGTCCCAGCATCAGGATTGGCATCGACATAGTTTCGGAGGCGACCTCGAACATCATCAAAGGAGGCGGCGCCAAAAAGATCGACAGAGTGCAGAAACTCGCCGTACTGAAGCAGGTGGCCATGCCCATCCCAAAGACCGGGAATCACGAAGCCGGGCGTGGTCGTCAGGCTCGCATCATCCCAGGCAAAAACTCTTGAGAACTTGCCGTCCTCGACGGTGAAGCATTGCGCCGTGGGTTGCTCGTCATCGTGAGTGCGGACGCCCTGGTAGCAGTATGTCTGCGGGCCATCGACATCTGCCTCGGACAGGGGCTGTTGGAGACGCACAACGGCAAAGGCAAAAACGCCTGCCACGGCAGCCGAGAGGCCAACCGTCCATCTCACGACGGCCGAGTTCGACATGATGGAGACGTCCTGCTGAGATACCAAGAATGTCGGTGAATAGAGGGACCGGATCGTGCCTGGCTTGTCTATGCCTCCTTCGTGTGGTCGTTGAAAATGGCCAGCTTATCGATAACAGCGCCACATCAAGTTTGCGCACAGGCCCTCTTGTGCCTTCTTTCCCCTCGTAGGCAGCTCCTGGGGAGACTGCCTGTATTTGGTAGTAATGAAGCATTGTCGCCAGGTTCCGATACTTAAAGAATTGTACAAACATCACGAGTACGGAGATGTCACGTTGGTCACCGAGGCGAATACGATACTCCTGGGTATGCCATCATGATGTCTCAAGCCCTTAGCATGCGCTTGACGATTGTGCACCAAGGCAAACGGGAGGATCGGCGGCAAAGAAGGCATCTATCTGGTCAAGCATCAATCGACGATGTCTTGTCAGCGGTGAAAACCTCAAAGAGAAAGTACTAGACTGTCGCGCTGTTACGGCTGACTGGCCTCCAGGTACCTCAAGTAGGCGACCCAATACGACGCAGAGAAAACGCGACAGTCCTTCTTAGCGTTTTCTCTTCCCACATTCAGGACGTTCCTGGTCGGATCCCTCTTCCTGTCGACTTCCACCAATTGATCGCTTCGCCAGGACGAAAGCTCACACAATGATGATGAACCCACAAATAAGTACAGTATCTACTGGTTATCCACATAGAGGGAGAGGCCTTGTGATTGAACATGGCGCTTGCATGGGACCACGTCTCGAATCGCTTGATGAATGACCTTGTCTCTTCTGACGTCCATGTCCATCAGATCCTCAACCGCATGGTCGCCATTGCATCCGAAATAGCCATCGGAATGCATCCCCCGCCTCCGTGCCTTCGTCATGGTGGGCCACACCTTCAAGACTGAACCCTGCATATGATGGCGTTCGCAGATAAGCAACCTTGGCCAAAGACATGTAGGTTGGCAGCTTGGGCGATGGACAAGCCTTCCAAGAGTCGACACGAGAGATCATCTTTGACGGTCTCCACCCCCGCCATCGCAGCCTCAAGGGGCTCGCTACTATGACATCACCCGTCAGCCACACCCCTCCTCCTAGCTCACTGTTCATTGGCAGAGGCGGCAAAGCGGGCTGTCCAACGCAAGGGGGATCCCCCAATGGTCCACGGCTCAAGCCAATCACACAGGTCCGCCACCACACATACGCTACGTCACCAGCCACAGGACCCTGAAAACCGGCTTGGGACCCCTTAAACGTGCGGTCCAATCCAAGCCCACGCCATCGACGGGAACGTCACCTATCGGTCCCGGAGCCAAGTTTTGCTTGTTCTCGTGAACGTCTGGTGTCTTGGTCTGGGCGTGAGGGGCTTGAGGATCCTCCGTTTCAGCGCGTTCTGGCCCTCGCGATCACCCTTGCTTTGATGTCATTTCTGGCGCAGCCATCACCCCAAATGATGCCATGCCATCATTTCGTCCTACCCAGCTGGAGCTCTCTGGATGGTCACCACAAAAGGTGCCATTCCAGCGAGCCTCGTCATGAACATATAAGCTGCTCTACTCGTCCCCTCTGACCACTTGATCTTTCCTTCATCAGACATCAAAGTCAAACAACACATCTCAGACACAAAGTTTCGAGCTCTCTAAGCAAATTTTCCAGCGCACCACACAAACAAAACACTTTTGAACTTTAACCCCAAACCGCCAAAATGCATATTCTCCGCTCGAGAGAGCCGCGGCGCACGCGACACAACAACAAAGAGATCTCTCGCTCCAATGGGGGTCTCTTCTCTCG